CCGCTCCCCGCTGAGGGCTCTCGACAGCCGAGCCTCTCCCTCCCCCTCCACCCCCTTTGGCATGGCCCGCGGCGCGTTCCTCTGCAGTCACGTCGCTATGCTCGAGCGTTTCCCTATCCTACCGCCTTTCCCTTTCTCCCCCTTCGTAGTGGGTTGCTGTTATAGGTCGGGGGCGCAATCCCCTCCCACCGTACGTTGATACGCAAGTGCACGAACGGGATGAGACTAATTGGGAAAACAAAAACAGAGATAGAGCCTGCACTAGTGGGTAGAGTTTTCTCTTTGTAGAGCGACTCTGTATCGCAATACGATTTCACGGCGGGATTTTCTGCTTCCACTGGACATATTTTCAATTCATGTGGAATGGTAATTTAATTGAAAGCTTTTATCCAGAAATTGATATGTAGCCTATCCGTTACGCAAAAATGTTGCATAAGTAAATACTAGTCACAAATTCACTGGATAAGACAATGTCCACGACCTCACGTAGAACAACATTTAAACAGTGGGTAATGAATTTCAGCAGCATTCAAATTGATTAAAAAAAATTCATAAAAACGTCTGTATGTGGCAAACACTAGCGATTAAATCATACAAAAGTTGACATTAAAAGTTACCATTTTGTGACTTTTTTATGACCACTAAATTTATGATTTTATTAAAATTTAATGTTTATACTATAAAACCTATAACTAAAAGTGAGCGATAGAACACCTGGAGCTCACCGTCTTTCATTTAAAGTAAAAATCATGAAATTTGAAACTGTGCGCCCCAAAATTAAATTATCATAATGATCTTCGGAACGGCACAACTAGATCTTACTCGTGACGTATTGACTGAATTCCGCAAAAAAACGCCCAATCTAAGTGAGTTATACGTGTCATTTGAATCCATCTAACTATAAGCACAATTCGAATTTCGCGTACAAAAGTGTCTCTTCTCTCCACATGCATTAATCTTAACCATCTTTGGAACAGCACACATAGACCTTAATCCTGACATGTGTTCTAAGTTACACATGAAAAGAACTTTAAACATGGATTTTACGACGGATATGCGAGATCATATTGTTGAGATGATTCCAAAACTTTTCCTCTCTACATTGTAGCATGTGTTCTAAATTCCCATAAATCCTATTGATCCGCATTTTTTCGACTAGAGTTACACACTTAACAGTAATCTGTACATGTATATATTTTTATTCAATTAAATAAATGTAATCAACATAGATATAATTATAGTTAATAATAATAATAATAATAATAATAATAATAATAATAGAAGAATATCAATTTTATGGGTTCAGAATAAATATTACTCACTTTTGGAGATGCAGAGGCGTAGAATATTATCACTATTTGTCAATGAACATATATCGGGAATTTCATATAACGACGTTAAATTTACCCCTTTACACACATGTTCTGCATGCTGTGTTCTGATACAGAGAAGGATATTTAATGTACCTGCCGAACACATGTCCATTCGGGATTGCCTAACGTTCAGGGGCAAGTGTAAGTCCGTAACATGAAATTTCCCATTATATATTGATTGGCAAAAAAGTGAAGTGTCACGAAGTGTACTCAACAGCACACATTGCCGCCACAGCACAAACTCCATAGAGTAATCATGTGATCGGTTTAGTGCGCAACATAAGCCACATGATCACACTAGCTCACTCCGGTGGACTAGCATGTGGGCTTGCGCCAACTGCACACAAGTGCGTTAACGGCGCATACGCCAAAGAGCTTCTCCGCTGAGCAAAAAGCGTCTATTGACCACGCGTCCGCGCGCTCCGCTCACTCACCTTCTCGTCCAGGGCCTTGTGGTGCTCGAAGAGGCTCTTGAGCGCCTTCAGCACCTCCACCTCGCTCGAGACGCCCGACTGGGACGCGGCCTGCCGCTTCACCACCGTCATCCTGAGCGAGCGCTCGTGCCGCGACACCAGGCACTCCAGGTGCTCCAGCAGCAGCTGCAACACACGCACACACACCACACGATGACGCCACTTGCACCTACGAGGCAACGATATGCGAAGGCGCACGCGCCCAGCATCGCCCGGGCTTGTCCTGGCCTCAGGGTTCACCTCTACCATCATCTTCGGGCTCCGGTACACCCGCCTACCCCATGCGAGGGTCTAGTTTCTATTAGCGCTTTGTCTAAATTAAATAACTAAATTAAACATCAGAAATTTATGTTTCATTATTATTCTTTTCTCTACCTCTTTTAGACATTTACAGGCTACCCGCTGTTTATCTTGGTACGTCTTCACTATTTTCGCTGCATAATTCCATGTTGTGTGTTTTATTTGCTAGAAAAATATCGGGTCGTACTACTGGAGCACGTGTATCACTACAAGAATTTGTTTTTGAATTAAATTAATAACTACACACCGTAATTGATTTTTTAGAACCTTAATGCCGTAACAATGAGTAGAAATTTCCGGTTATGTTTTTGTAATTCGTTTTGTGTGACCAAAAAAGAAATGTTAGTACATATTAAAGTAATAACAAAAATAGGCAAGTTTTTTAAGTCATTAATCAACGTCAAACGTTCGTTCTGCAAAGAGAACAGTCATGTATAGAAGCATACATTTTGATATGACAAGATATTTCATCTGTTATCCTTCTATATTTTCCAATCTTTCATTTCCCTGTTTTTCTATTATTACCCATTTCCCCAAAATACGTCTTTTACTTTTGAGGAATCACAAGTTTAATGAAGCCTTCATCTTCCGTATCTTACGTACAAAATTTAATTTAAAAAAATGTAAAACAAACACAACATATTACCGCATATTACCGAATTATTTGGTGTAAATTAATTGCATATTTTCTTTAGTTACAGCTTAATCATGTGGTTTCTAGGGCACATAAGTTTAGTTTCTCATCAGTTTTCTAATTAACACCTTTTTTTATTGTCAATTCAGGTTTATCTCGCTCTTTCTGTGTCTACGTTCCGAATTATACAAACGTCAGTCTTTTCTGAATCCAATCGCTTTTGGTAGTTTAATTACCTTTTTACAGAGGACTTGTCACATCAGTCACTTTTTCACAAGAAGTCACATGATCTTTTCACTCATCTTTTATTTTGCATTTCACGCCGCCATTTATTTCCGGCCTACTTCCTCAACCATTCGCACCTCACCAACGTTGATTCACCCCCGATCATTCGTGTGCTCCTTCAAGTAAGACGCATCAAAGCACAAAGGCGCCGGCTCACATCATAACGGCCGCGCCCTCAAAGAGTATGGCGAGAAAGCAGTATTGATATACTTCCTTTTTTGCATTTTACGAATATAGCGAAGCCTTCAAAGGCATCGTATATTGATAGTACCCATACTTCCAAGATATGGTCGCTGCCTCCACAGAGTCAAAGAACGATGTTTGAGATAGCGAAAAAGGAATTTTCGATGTGAACTCCGAGTGTTTCTGAAAGTTTTAGAAGAAATGGAATCGCGACTGGAATACCCTGCAAGCAAAACAAAGTCTCTAACGCCAGTGGACTACTTGTTGATATCTTTAAGATTTTATGGTACAAGATCTTATCATATCTTGAAATTATAGAGATGACAGACTGCACACTGTGCCAATTTGATTTTCGAGTTAATGAATTTGAACGAATCATAAACTGAAAATCGTATTTCTGCCTAAATGTGCAAAGTATGTCAACATACTTGAAATACAGTAGATCATACGTCATCAGTATGTAGCAGGCAAAGCGGAACCGCGTTTAATCTGACACCGTAGCCAACCTCTGTTTGAGAAAGAAAAACCAACACATGTCGGTGAAACATAAAAAGGTGTCAAATAATTGACGTTAATGAAAATGACGATCGTTAAGATGGTTTTGTCGAAGGTTGATGAAATCAGTGCTAACAAAAGTCATTGCAAATTGAATTATGACGCAGTGCGCAAATGCCTTTGAAAGATAGCGCCAGTAGCTCCCAAACGGTGGGCTGAGAGTTGGGTGCATTTCCTGGCGCCCATCCTTGTCAAGATGCATTTGATTCTGCATGCGCATTTTCTTCGAGCTCCCTGCCAATTTGGAACATTTCACTATTGATTTCCATATAGGTCCAGGCAAAGATGATCGAGCTTTTAAGAAAAATAATTCCCTGTAAGTATCATAGGGATGGCAACTTTCTGGGCGTTACGACCGGCAAAACAGCGAACTGATACCGCCGATGTCATCAAAGAAGAAGAGGTATGATAGGAACTGCAACTCAGCGATTGAGTTCCCGGTGATCCGGAAATATCTCGTCCGTACATGTGCTACCCATATACAACTATGTAGGTTTTCTGTGGTGCTATCTATTACCCACATTGTACTTACGCACGCGGCAGTATTTGAAGTCGTGTGAACAGAGAGACGAGAGGATGCAAAGACTTCGCTGTTCTAGCATACATACGGCATTTTTTCATACACACTTTGATTTTAACACTCGCCTTTGTCATGCACCGAGGTGAATTATCCATTTCACTGAATACGATGACATCTGTCAAGCTGCGATAAATATGAAATTAACGAAAATATCCTGTTTCCAAATAATATGCACATTTTTTTGGTTTTCCCAGGAGTTTTCAAATTCCCGTTTTTCTGGTTTTCAAGAATAGCAAGCCACTCTGGACAAGATTTATCGACGTTTTCGATAACACAAAACCAGATTTTTCCTGTCGAAAAAATCCGTTTTTGCCACACCATTACAATACTACGAGTATCTTTATTCTACGTAAGTGATAATCGAGAAAGCAAAAACAAATGGAGCTATTTTTGTAATTTTTGTTAATATTTTGAGACTTTGTATAAAGTATCCTGCCTACGATTTAGCTACTAGCACTGTTCACAAATGTTTAGTCGTAAACGAATTATTCCGCGTCGCGGATCTTCAAAATCTGGATTCTGACTGCACTGGATGACATTATTTACTATTACATGTAGGAACAAGATTTATCAAGTTTTCGGTATCCGTGACACACACACACACAATCTTACGTCGAAAAATCTGTGTTTTTGCTTCAGCATTACAATGCATTCGGTATACTATGCAAGTATTAAACGAGGAAGTAAAAATAGTAGAGAATAAATAGCTTGGAAAGTAGCGGTAGTAGAAATTCACTACACTTAGCACACGAAAATTGTATGAACGGCTGCTTCAACTGTCATTCCTAACACAAACTGAACTCCATAGGAACAGAGACTTTACAAACTACATTTCAACATGTTCATTATATTAAGCTGCAATGTGCTATATTATAGCGCACCAGGGAAGTCTCTCCATGACGAGCTGACTCGGGCTGCCACCGCTGCCGCTTGCGTCCTCAGCTTGAGCGCCGTGCGGGGCGCTGTCATCTCCTCCCACCCCGCTCCTTCATAGCTTTTGTTGATTGCACTCTCATCAGCCTTGTGTCACTGCGGAGAACCTTTCCTGGCGCATTGTAATTCACAATGTTGAGGGACTTCCTGACTGGACATCTCCCCATAATCGGTTTCCAGCCAGAATAGCCCCAATGCAGATTCGGAGGCGAAAGTGCAATCGAGCCTAGTTGTTTCTACTTGACATGTAAGTTAGGAGGGGAAAAAAGTTGTGAAAATGAAATGAACGCAGTGAGAATAAAATATAATTAACTAAAGAACAAACATTTTCTAAATCAAATGTGTTCCAAGGAAAGAATAGAAAACTGAATAACATGTCCCTTCCGAAGACTATTTTACGTGTGATTTTCCTTTGTAAATATTTATTTAGATTGATTCCAAATATTTCCATTCTTTTCACATTCAAACATTAGAAGCAAAATATATGAAATATAAACAATGCGCGATTGTTTGTAAAACGTTCAAACTTATTTTTCAAATTTGGAATATAATCTTAAAATTACAAATGCGAGTACCACTGCCTTGATAAACTGAGGTACGTTCTCCACATATTCTCATTAATAAGCTTTATTAATTGTTTCTACAACCAACAAAAATCACATTTACTTTCATGGCTCGAAATGTCTTCCAAGCACTGCTTAATTAAATGTATTATGCGTAGTATTTCTCATATTAATTTATTTTCTGAAAATGAAAAGCATTTACTGAACATCAATAAAAGAAATATTTGTCTCCACACTAAAACTAATCTCGAGAGACTCGAGAAGAGGTTAGATGTTTAATTGGACTCGTCAGAGGGAATATTTACGCAATTACAAGCGGCGGACAAACTCTTCCAAGAGAGGACAGGCCAATTCGAGACGAATTCGTCTCGCGCCGTTAACAATCCAATTTTCCCCGTCAATTCCTAAATGGGCGCAGAACATTTGTCATCCGGGGGCCAGCAAAACGCGCGGAAACCGTAAATTCAGTGGATTAATGTATTGTTGCTCTATAACAGGGCTTTCCAAATTGTGTACTGCGGGCCAAAGACAATCCACGAAAAGGTTTTACAAAGCGGAGTTTCACAAAGCGGGTGTGGGAAATTCCAGGGTAAATTTCAGTGTCAACGACGTTACAAAAGTGTTACAACGACGTTACAACGAATTGTAGCAACGTAGCATGTTGATTACCAGTCTCCTTTCGTCGTCCAATTTTGTGATGTTCTTTGATATAATCGAAAGAAAATGAGATGTGTACTGAATGCGTGTGCGTGTGTATATTTGAGCTAGTTTGTGTGCGTATGTGAGTACGCGTGAGAGTGTGAGATATATGTGAGAGGGAGCATGAGTGCGTGCTCGTGCTAGTGCAAATTAAAGTGTTCCGGATTGAAACTGTTGTTAGAATTAATAATACCTCCTTCAACTTGAAAAGCTTGCAGATGAGTTCCATGGACACATTTTATACTAACTGTGAACTACAGAGCACCCCGCCTTACGAATGTCCTCATAGTGTTAACGACTGAGATAGAAAGTAATAGCAAGTAATATTATAAAAAAAAGTAATTTAATATTTTGAAGCATAAGTTTTAATAGGAGGGCATTTTGGAGGGGAAAA